CATTCACAAGCCAACTGAGACTTGAACCTCGCAGCCGTAAGTATTCAGCAAGCAAAGGGACAAAGGCTTGTCGTTTTTGGTTAAGGTGACCATTTTGTTTGAAACGTGTCTGTAATTCAAGGCTCACCTTGGCCGGGCTCATGTTGCCGGAACCAAGTGAAAATGTGCTTTTAGATGGTGCAAAACAATGCGAATCAACCGCTCCAGTCCACCATCTCCTACCGCTTGTTGTCGATTGCTTCCTCCTTCTCCGTTTGCTTGCCATGGTTCTAGAACTCGAGGGGCATATCTTTGCACATCGCAGAGGTTCGTTCTTGTCTACCTTTCAGACCGGGAGAAGGCAACAGGTGGCCGCGCCCGCGCAGCAACTTATCTCCATTTCAAGAAGCTGCAGCTTGCCCTGGCCAACGTTCAAGCTCCATCCAAGTGGCAATCATCTGCGGGATGCGATCCAAGCCGGTTAAGAAATGGGGACCTGCTCTAGTGCACAAAAATGCACTACCCGCCAATCTTGCTTTTTCAAAAGCCACCGCAAAGGGGTTCCTTATATGAACATCGGCCAATTGAAATGGCAAATATGATCTTCCCAAACCCCTGCCAAACAGCCCTCATGCTGAAACGCAGGAGTGGAAACGTGCGCAAAATGCATCCTGGCGGCCGCCCCTCCAGCAAATGCTTCTCCTGAGTTCTTATTAAGCAGAGGAACTTGGCGAATCCGGCATGGCGATCTGCAAAAACTAGTGACCCGTTTGGGGGACAGTCTCGAAACCAGAAAAAAAGTCTTTGGATGGCTTTTGACAAAAACCCGCTGGCTGGTGACACGCACATGGGTGTGCCTTGTTTGAGGCCTTTTGGATGGGCAACAGGAAAACCCACCATTTTGGGACCCCCCCCAAAAAGGCCACGCCCAAATGGTCGAACAGACTGGAGCTCCCACTCTTCTCCAGGCGTCTGGGGCCGACAGCTGGCCCACCTCCAGCCCGTGCAGCGGGATTTGGATCTCCGCCATGTGGGCGGTTTCCGCCGGGGCGTGGGCGCCGGCTACCCCAATGCCGACCCCGGCCACGGCCCCAGCCCCGGCGACGCCGGCCCCGGCGCCGGCCACCCCGGGCTGGTCCATGCCTAGCGCTCGCTTCTGGGGTCTGTAGGTTTCAGGTTGTTCCTAGCGAAACACCGCGATCCCAGAAGCTTGAAGTTGCGGTCTACATCCCATGGCCACAAAACCTCAAAAACGAAGGCGAGTCTATACAACGAAGGATTTAGAGATATTCCAGTTTGGCACAGAAGGGTTTGGGCGGTGGCTCATTTAGCTTCCAGAAGCACACCCGCTGCTGCACCTTCTCTGACTCGACACGAAGATCCAGGCACCTCCTTGAGAGGTGCTGGTACCACCTCTTTGGCAAGTCTGTACAGGCCTGTTCTTTTGTCTCTTGGAAATTCCATCTTGGTAGATGACTCCCGAAGTCTTCCGGTAGTCTTGCAGTCTTCCCGCCCCTGCAATCAGAAGCAAGTTTCAGACAGCAAGCGCAACACATGCTTGCTTCAGTCACACTCTTCAGTTTCGTTGGCGGCAGTGACATGCTTCCTCTTCTGCAAGCGTGGCTCAAGCATAAACCATTCTGCAAACCATTGCAGAAGCCCTGTATATTGTAGCCAACGCTCGATCAAACTGATGCTAGCCAGCTCGTCCACCGTCACAATTTCCGGTTGCACAAGAGTTGCATGAGCTACCGCACGGAATGTAATAAAAACACGTTTATCTGATTATCGGCCGGTAAGCATAGCTGGAATCCACTGATTCCTCCATTTCTTGTCTGTCTTCTGCGGTCTGAAAACGTGTCAGCATAACTCATTTCACGTTTCCTCCCCCCCCCCCCGCCCCCCCCGCCGCGCCTACTGGAGAAGCGGTGGTAACTGCTTGGACCCAGGACTCGGCAGGTGATATCGTGGTCGTGACGCAATTGATGGGTCCTCCAGCGCAAATGTCATCTGTGGTTTGCAACAGGATCGGACTAGCCCGACAAGAGGGTGGTGCCAGCTGTTTTGGTGGCCAACACTTGTGTGATATGTGTAGGACAAGCAGAGGTTTCCTTAGTTTGTCTTTGACACCTTGACAGCATTGGGACATCATGGCGCGCAAGGCAAAAAGAGCAGGATCAAATGAGACGCACCGGCTACCGGTACAGACTTGTGAGGTGACCTTTGGGGCACCTCACAGTTGGAGAACAAGTCAGCCCTTTGGTGTGTCTCAAGCCCTTGTTGGTGTCTAGAGGGAAATCAAATAGGGGGCGCTTCTACGACTGATCTGCAGGTCCAGTGCTGCACATATGGCCTGACTGCTGTTCGCACATCTCCCGAAGGCTGCCAGATTGCACAGACAGAATGCCCGCCCGTCACGCGCTGAACGCCGGTTCAGCTTGAGGGCGCACCTTGCTAGACCGCTGTGAACGAGTCGTGCCACTGTTTTCGTTTTTCAAAACTGTTCCTAAACGGGTCCTTGATGTGACACAGAGCCAGATCTCCCTTACGTGGCAAGTGTCTTGGAGTCAGAAGCTTCTCACAGCCAGAGCATCCTTCTGCTAGACGCCCTCAAAGGAACCTTCACATGACATGGGTGTGGGTCAAAAATAGGTACCCACAATAAAACCTGGGTAAATGAATTAGGACTACCACCTGCGGTTTTCTGTTGGTTTTATTTTGACCCATACCATCATAGGTCACTTCGGTCCCCTGGTTTTGTTTTTGAGCCGTACTAACATAAGTCGCAGCTTGCATTCGTTTTTCCCCTTTGACCCGGCCGAATGCCAACTTGCGCGTCCTGAGATGACCTCGAAGTTCTCCGCAACCACCCGGCGTGAGTCGGAGCCAGAGGTATGGCAGCCGCCATCGGGCCAATATACAAAGTGCTCGCCTCACCGGGGGGGAAAAAAACCGCCATGCATTGATTTCAATGACCCAGTTGCTGGTCATTCGGCAAAAACTTCAGAAGCCAAAATGAACTCGAACAAAATGGGAGGAGCTCCAAGTACCCACGTGGGCTCCGGTGAAACAACCACTCAAGTTCCAAGTTGAAAGGAGAGAGGAGACTGCCAAACAAGTTGCGCTTTTTAAAACCTTGCTGGCCCCTTGTGCCACCTTTAAAAGGGATACCAAAACGGACCCCTAAGTTTGACAGCCCAATGGCACATTGCGGCCCAGGGTGCAGAAGAGCGTCATCTCGCACCGAGATTTGCAGGACTCCCAGTTTGGCTCTACCGTCCTGGCCGAAAATGAGACAAATTGAAGGCTCAAACGCAAATCAAGGCCTGCATATTAATAAGGGCCCTACAGAAAGTCGTGTATATTATGTTTGCTGTCTTTTGCGCAAACCAAATCGAAACCATTGCCTTCAAGAGGCCCACGTTTGGTAGGCAACCCCATGACAAGCAACCAGACTTTGCCATTGGCAGGTGAGCAAACAGTTTCACATGCACAAGGACCCTGGGTGGGCGAAAAGAAACTGCAAACCAACCACATGCGTCCTAGAAACCACATGTGCATTTAGATGATGCTGAGTGTAGTACGCACATGATCAGAAAATCCAAGAGTTTCTGCAAGAATCTGAAAGTCAACCGCAAAAAGTCGGACTGTGAAAAACTGCTCCGCTTCCCCCACAGCGTTGGTGAACATTTGCGCTGGGCATGAGCATTAGCTAGGAAGTCTGAAGCCAGACTTCAAGTCGCTTGCCAACTATTTAGCATGCTAGCCGTGCCCTTCGGGGAATCACACCATATAAGGAGGTCAACATTGACTGGAAGTGCCCTTTTCGGCCGCTTCAAGGCGGCTAGAACCTGGTGCACATTCAAGCTATGGTTGGGGGACGCAAACAGTCCTTGTCCTTCTTGCTATGCACTATGGTCCTATGGGCTTGCTTGGATCTTCAGTGAAGAGATTGGGTGGCCATGAAAGCCAACGTTCAATTTATTGAGCTGGGAGTGAAACCGGGAAGCGGTCCTTCCCAAACCCCATCTCGCCCCTTACCCGCGATCCAGCTGCCTCCAGCTGCCCCGAAGCAAGCCCCCCAAATAGTCCCTCCAGCTTCCTCTTAGGGCCAGTGACGCGCTATTGTGTCCAGCCCGCAGATTCACGCGTGGGGGCACGAAATATACAGGCAAACAGCGCGATGTTTGACGATGGTAGCAACCTGTTCCAGCAAGGGTTTGGGAACAATGTGGAATGCTGGTGTCACGAGACACTATTAAGTGGTGGGGTGGTGGCCACCAAAGAGAACCACGCTTGAAGCCGAGCTGGGATGACATAGAAAGCGGGTGCTTGGCAAGAGCGGCTGTTATGCGCAAGAGCTCAAATCATGTCGCTGTTTGCGAGGCGACCTCTAACTCAAAGCGCCAGATCGGGCCCGCTCTGACACCAAGCCACCTTGGGACCATCGCCCGACTCCTCCACGTCATTTGGCTATACGCGTGGAGCGATCTGGCCATCCCGACTGACCACAAATACCCCGTTTAAAACCAATTATCCCGAGATTTCACTGCCGCGCCAAGACGCCAAGAAGCGGAATTCAAAAAGCCTGCGCCGAACCCATGCGCTACACCGTGTCTCCCCGATAGGCGCAGGCCGCGCGCGGCTACCTAAAGCTCGGGGCGCCTACCCAGGGCACACAGCGCAAGATACACAAGAAGGGAACGTGGGACTTGGGGCGAAAAACTGCCTAGTTTCGCTTGCCTGTCATGGTTTTCCGTCTGGATGCACTGGCTTGGCGTACAACACCGAAGCAGTTCCAAGTGTTGCGACTTCAAGCGAGCGGTTGCCTGCCACAGGCAAACAAATCGCGTGGACTCTCTTTGGCGCAACTTGCGCTGGACTTGCGCCTTCCTTGCTTGACATGTGCGGCTGGTCTTGCAGCACACTCCTGATCTCCAAATTGAAAGCGGCGGTGCAGCGAATTTTATGGGCCCCAAAAGAATTGGGATCATCCCTTACTTATTTACATACAACGGGGCTATTTTTGCGGCTCTTGCTTGTGCGGGATGCGTAGAACCATTGCCATGGGGCTCTTATTGATCACGAGGGTTCGGGAGAGGCTGATTAAGACCGTCTCTGTCAAGCCAGAGCAACCTCTCTTGCCAGTCCTCGCAAGCTACCAGCTTCGCTTTCGGAGACACTAAGTACAAACGACCAAAGGAAAGACATGTACAGGGTTCCAGGTAAGCTGCAGACGAAGCATCAGCCCCTGGTAACTGCTTGTGCCGCACCCTTCAGGCTCCTGGGTGACAGAAACATGGAAGGCGGCTCATATCGGTAACCTCGCTCAGCACAATCCGTCAGCTTCGGCAGGTTATCCGTCAGCCTCTGCTGGACGGCGTCCTCAGCAAGAAACAGCGAGCTTGGGGGCTACCCAATTTGTCTGCGAGACCCGCGAAAAAAAAGGAAAAAAGTCTGGGACAACATCATAAACCTATGAGTCTGGGGCAAACGGGTCAACTTGGGAAAACTTTAAGCAAAATCAACGGTTGTGAGCCCTTGGCCATGGAGACTCAGCAATCCGCTGCATCCCAAAACACTCTACGTTTTAATCCAAATTTACAAGAGCCTCCAAACGAAAACAAATCAAAGTGGGAGATCTTCCGATCACTACCTTGTGGGCTTGGGCCCTTTGGCCCAAGTTGTCCTTTGCGCATTGCTCAGCTTCCCACGACCGCCAAGCTGATCGATTGGACTGCGTTGGATGGCGGGGGAGGGGTCGTAAGGAGATAACCCTTTCGGTGACTTGTTGGAGTGTCCAAATTGCTTTTCACCCACCTCGGGATGGCGGTTGAAAGGAAACTAAAAAAGAAACAAACTATTTCGTGGGAACCCTTCTCTTGTGGTGGCAAACAACCATCGCGGACCGTTGCGAAGCCTGTTTCACCCCAAGCAGCGGCGCAAAAGTGCTGGATGTACTCGCCGGCCACGCAGTCCTGGGTGCAATGGAGGGAGGAGTTTCACTTCTGTCCTGAACCCCAAGTAAAAGGGCGCATTGACGGACACACAAGAATGATTGTAGGTGGAGGGGTAGGTGGGTAGGTACACAGGCAGACTGACACACGGGCAAACAGAAAGAAAAACAGACAGACGGACGGACGGCCGGACAGACAGGCAAACAGACAAACAAGAAAACAAGAAAACAAACAAACAAACAAACAAACAAACAAACAAACAAACAAACAGACAACGACACAGACATGCAAACATTCAAGCAAACAAGCAAACCCAACAATCAAACCAAACCAAACCAAACCAAACAAACAAACAAGCCGAACTTGCAGACACACAGACAAACGGACGGACGGACACACACACACACATCTAGACTTATGGAGCCATGCATGGACAAATGGGCAAAGAGACCGCCATGCAAACCTCTGCGCTCGCAGTCTCACATGCAATTCAACACACAGCTACACACACAACACTCTCACACGGAGACACAGACACAGGCGCAGGTATAAATGCAGATGCAAACGCGGACGCGGATGAAACAAGCATGCACACGCGCAGAGCCTAAAACACAGACACAGAGGCACCGACACAGACGCAACACAGACACAGAGAAACACAAACAGACACAGAGAGACAATTTCAGTGGAAGGGTTAGGCATCTCCGCGTGTTTTTTAGATCATAGGGCCCTGGCCTTTGCGTAGTCTGTGTCCCGACGCGCCGCGTCCAGCGTCAGCGGGTAGGGCGGCGAGTACTCCTCCCGGATGCATGTGTCTCTTGTGTTTTCAGGTAAGTTTCTGCACCGCTGCGTAGGGGCAACCTTGGAATGAGCCAAGGGAACAGCCTTCCTAACGTGCCAAGCTGACTTCTCCATTCCCGTTTGAGCAGCGCTGTGAATGTGTGGAATAGCTTCCTCCCATGTTTGCTCGGACCCGTTATGGCAGATGTCCTCAATACGTTGTGCGTGTAGCTTTGCAAAGTACTTCAACTCGTCTGAAAATCACACAATTCTGGACTCCCTTCCCGAGCCATGAGTGCAAGTTGGCCCCGAGTGGACTACTGTCAGTGAAGACAGCCTCAAGAGATCGCTTCCACCAAGTTGAATTGCGCATTACTTGTGCAAGCGCCAAAAACTCTTGCAAGCGAATCAGTTGGCTCGCTTAAAGTGCCACACTGTGAGCTTGGAAGCCCGTAGTAACTAGATAGTGAACTGTTGCTGCTGTCGACGCCGCTGTTCCTGTGTTTGTTATTTGCATTGTACTTGATTTTACTCTGGTTCGTCTGCGTTACCGCTCTTTTGTTGTTGTTGTTGTTGTTGTTGTTGTTGTTGTTGTTGTTGTTGTTGTTGTTGTTGTTGTTGTTGTTGTTGTTGTTGTTGTTGTTGTTGTTGTTGTTGTTGTTTGTTGTTGTTGTTGTTGTTGTTGTTGTTGTTGTTGTTGTTGTTGTTGTTGTTGTTGTTGTTGTTGTTGTTGTTGTTGTTGTTGTTGTTGTTGTTGTTGTTGTTGTGTTGTCGTTGTCGTTGT